CCCTTTCCATAAAAAAAGAAAAAAAAGGGAAAAAATGAGAAGAAAAAAAAAGAAGAATAGAAGAAAATGAAAAGAAGAAGTTTTCCAGTACAGAAAAAATGATCTGCAGAAGCTCCGCTATTTCTACATTCTCTGACAGTTCCTTCATTTTTACAGCGTTGAAACTTGTATCATTTCCAAATAAAAACATCTGTACCTAAAGGAAACAAATGATACAAGTTTCAACCGCTGTAAATTAAAGGGAAACTGTCAGAGAAGATCGGGGAAAAAATCCGATTCGCGCACCCGAAGTATGCTAATATTCGGATTCGCCGCGAATCGAATTTTTCCTGAAATTCGAAACGAATTCCACTTCGCCTGGTTCGATTCGCTCATCTCTAATGAACACATTGTGGATTCTGAAGATGATGGAAGTTACTCATAATTATTATATAAAAAACATGTGTTACACAGTGTGAACATTTCACTTAGGAACTTAAATAAATCCATCTGTTCACAAAAAAATAGTAGAATATCTCATGGATACAGATTATGTGTCAGTGTATTAATCACAGTTTTATAGATGACAGTAGAATGGTGTTCTTGGGTGTTAAATTCTCCAAACAACAGGCTTCACCCCCAAGTCCTTAACAATGATTGCAGATAGCCCCATTAACTTACATGGCCTAAGAATCCCTGGCCATGTAAGCAAAAATGTTGAGGATAGTCTACAAAATGGTGTGGGGTTCCCCTCTAATTATTACCTGGTCATTTAGGTCCGGTATAAAAAAAATGGTGTGAGGTCTTGTCTAAATTGTACACAAGCAGTACTATGTTTGTTCACAGTTGGGGACAGTATCTGGGTTGTCCCCCTTCCAGAATTCAGTTAGCCCGCATCCATCAAGCCAAGGTTGTGGGAAAGAGGCCCTTGTCCTCATCAATGTGCTTGTCCCCCCTGACAATGCTCCCCCCCATTTTATGGACATATGGCCAGTTATGCTCACTATCGATTTTTGACTTTTTTTTTTCTTGGTTTCTCTGTGAAGTTCCCTCTTCAAATCCATATTGGACCTATATTTTTTTTTTTTTGTGGGGGTACCTCATTAACATCTATATACCAGATCCTCATTATGACAGACCCACCCAGGACAGAAGCTTTTGGAGGAAACTGCAAGCTAGCCTCTAACCTACTGAGCATGGCCCTGGCAGGACTCTGTTGTTTGGGAAGTGTGTACCTGGGGGGGACCTTTGGATGTCCACCCAAAACACACAGACTCTGAGAACTGGAGGACCAGGATACAGATTTGGGGTCTCTGTGCCCAAACCAGCATTGACTGCTTCAACACCCCCTAGACTCAGAGACTCTAAGAAGATGTTGATATAATCAGCTCAAAACAACCTGATGCTGAGGACTCTTGTGTACTGTCTTTCTACCAATGTGTGCCTACTAGGTGTGCATTCCCATTGTTAATGGAGTTAATTGAGTCACCTATTGTCTCTGTCCTCTTGGAAGCTCCTACATCATGGGATTAGTCTGGTGTCCAGGGGTGGACTGACCATTTGGAAACTCGGGCACTGCCCGAGGGCCCAGGGTCAGTAGGGGGCCCCATGAGATGCCCCTGGTACCTTTTTCATAGGTTTTTTTGAGTTTGGGCAAGGACACAGGGGACCCATGATCCCCTATTGCCTGGGGCCCCATGAGTTGTCAGTCCGCCCCTGCTGGTGTCAACATCACCTAGTTATCTAATCAGTGCAGGATGTTTGTCCTAATGTATACTGGTTTTTTTTTGTGTTCACGTGGGTATATATGCGATTTTGCATTTCCAGGTAGGGGGGTGCACGCGAGGCACGCGTGAGTACTCGCCCGCACCCGGTGATTGCCGAGGATCTCCGATGGGGAGGAGAACTGTTAGTAAACAAAACAGTTCTCTTCTCGGGTCATCTTCTGCACACTGCTTTGCATGGCTGTAGCAGAATACATTATGGCCTTAATTTATGGCGAAATTAGATTTTTTTAATTTTTTACTGGACATGTTTAATAGCAAAAAGTCAAAAATATTGTTTTTTTTTCTCAAAATTGTTATTTTTTTTTATAGCGCAAAAAGTAAAAAACCACAGAGGAGATCAAGTACCACCAAAAGAAAGCTCCATTTGTGGGCGAAAAAAAAGACGTAAATTTCATTCTCTGCCTTGAAGCTCTAAGTGAAAGTCATATTTACCACCTAGCACTGAATGCAGCAAGAGCTCCAGAAGAAAACATTTGGTAAAAGATGTTATATGCATGGACCTCTTGATGACAGCTTTTAAAGACTTATGCTAGCTTTAGTACATTTTATGCAATCACATATTATGCAATCTTGAAAAATATTTGTTTAGTATTTTCTTTAACAATCCAAAGTGGTCCTGGCACCACATATGTTTCAAGTGCAAGCATGATGAGCACAGTCATGTAATCCAGGTGCCTGTGCAGTTCTTGGCTGTGTTTGCAATTGTCTGACACAGATCGGCCTCTTACCTATCGGGGTGCCGTGACAAGGCTCTGTAGCTTACGCATGTATTTGCAAATGTGTGCTAACTAAACCCCTGTTTTTAAAACGCATACTGTTAGGTTAATTCGGTTTGTTTGCAGGCTGGTTGGCAAGTTGAGCTGGGAATTTTTCTCTTTTTTTTTTGTTTTGACATGCGTCGCCCATCCGTGTGTTCCTTGCTGTGATGGCCAGTTATAGACTGGGGCAGTGGCCATTTTTTGTAATTTAAATCCAGGTGCCTGTGCAGTTCTTGGCTGTGTTTGCAATTGTCTGACACAGATCGGCCTCTCACCTTGTAACTGGCAACAAAGTAACATTGTTGCAGTCTGATCACTGGAGGGAGGGACTGAGGAAATGCTTCCTCCTGCCTGCATCCAAAGAACAAAGGTATACCGCTCAGGCAAACAATCCAGCTCAATCCACAACAGGTGCAGGTCCTGGCTCACCACCACACATGATGCAATAGGAAGAAGGGTCAGCCGCACACTGGAGGATAGATGAATATAGTGCAGTGGCGGACTGACCATTTGGAAACTCGGGCACTGCCCAAGGGCCCGGAGTCAGTAGGGGGCCCCATGAGATGCCCCTGGTACCTTTTTTCATAGGCTTTTTTGAGTTTGGGCAAGGACACAGGGGCCCCATGATCCCCTATTGCCCGGGGGCCCCATGAGTTGTCAGTCCACCCCCGATATAGTGTGTATTTATTGATCCATAGGAAACACAAAACACCAGGACATGAATACAGGACCTGTTAACGCGTTTCACACAATCACATGCTTAATCATAACCTCCTGCCTTACATCATCTCCGCCTAGGCAAAGTCACTGGCCTGGAGCTCAGGGACTGATTTTTTTTTCAGGATAAAAAAAAAAAGCTTTTCTAAAAAACAGATACTAAAAAGATCTACTTTAATCATTAGGTCTGTATTATTTCCATTCTTGTATCATTTTGTAGTTTACATCATGAATATTGTGTTTAAAAATGTATTTTATAACTAAGCTTCAATCTAGGCAAACATTTTTAGAAAGCAAAAATAAAAACAAACCCTAGCACAATAGATCTTCACTTTGGAGTGTACAGAGATGTTTGTACATTGTGAAAAATGCTGAAACATGTAATTATGTCTGAGATTAGAGCTTATTTTTCCAGAGCTCCCACTAAACACAGGGAACTTTTAAATGAGATGTTTACTTGGGTTTTGGTGTGCTGTGTTTGGTTGAAAATTGAGGGTATGACTCTTGTTTATACATAAATTTTCTACATAAAAATGTCTGTAAAATCTTACATAAGCAACTTTCAAGGAATCATGAGTTTATTGTATTTGTGTAATCAAAACTGTAAAATATCACTTATTTAAATTACATAACTACAATATGTTTGGGAGCACGCTAGAGAGTTTGAGCTGCAAGACTGTGCTATTAAAATAGCTTTCTGTGCCTCTTGCTGTAATGCTATAACGTTTTGCCAATAAAGATTATCGAGTTGCTTTTAATAAAGTTTTCGAAAAAAAAATCTTGTGTCCATGACCACCTCTGGCTTGTGTAGTTCAGAGTTAGTATATATGGTCTTTAAAGTAGAACTATAAGAATTTTTTTTTATTTTGGATAGAGCAAGGGAGGGTCATAACCCCTGTCAGATTTTTTTTTTTCACCATCTGTGTCCCATTGGGGAGATTTCCCTTCACTTCCTGTCCCATAGCCAAACAAGAAGTGAGAGGCAATCCCTGCAAATTTAGGGAATTCCTTGGGGACCCCAGGTCACCAGAACTAGTGTCCCATTCGGAAGATTTCCTCTTTATTGCTTTTATGGGGATAACTCAAAATTTGGGCTTTTCTTTGGCTTTCACTGATAATGGTAAACAGGAGAAATAGGGTGAATCTCCCCAATGGAGGCATAGGCAGCAATAAAGACCTAATAGCAGTTCAAATCCATTTTCACTCTATCCAAAACTAAAAAAAAAGTTTTACATTTAGTTAAACTTTAATTATAGATACTATAGCAATGACTGGCTTTGTTACCTAGATGGTATTGATTTTCCCACACTCTCCATAACTCCGTAACTCTCCGTAACAAAATGTCTTAGATGCACCTGTTCAGTTAGAGGAAGTCTAACAAGCTCTGGCTAGCGTCCAATCGGATGAAACCCATGGCCCTGACAGCCTACCTGTTGCATTCTTTCAAACCTATTCTGAAGAATTGGCACCATACCTCCATACTGTCGTCCTTACTGCTTAAACTGCTGGAAGACTGCTGACATCCTTAATGGAAACTGTGATCGTGGTTCTCTCCATGAACGTGACCCTATGTCAAGCCCATTTGTCTTTTAAATGTGGATGTTAAGATCCTCACAAAGATCCTAACTCACAGACTATGAGGTTGATTTACTAAAGGCAAATAGACTATGCACTATGCAAGTGCAGTCCCCAACGGCCATGATAGCAGGTAAGTATAGGTCTGTTCAACTCAAGTTTCTGCATTGAGTGTACTATACCCCACAAACTATCTACCATTTACCAGATAATAGTAGCTACTTACCCAGTGGGTGTAGAAATATGTACATTTATCCACATGTTTTGGATGTGCCTTAGTTTGTAGGATTACTGGAAAGAAGTGATCCAAATTTTGGGGTACCTAATAGAAATTCTTAATATTATATTATTATACAGTATTTATATAGCACCAAAGGGTTTACTCAGTGCTGTACAAAGGCAGGGGGACAAGACATGAGACAAGACAGAGACAGTGCGATACACGAGAGGTTCGAGGGCCTTGCTCTTTCGAGCTTACAATATAGGAGGGAGGGGAAAGTGGTATATAGGAGGAAGTGGCTGTGGGGGATGAGGTGGTGGGAGGAGTGGAGGTCAGATGTTATGTGGGGGAGGGGTAGGCCTCCCTGAAGAGGTGGGTCTTCAGGGTGCGCCTGAAGGTGGTGAGGGTGGGTGACAGTCTGATGGATTGGGGTAGGGAATTCCGGACGATGGGGGAGGTCCTGGAGAAGTCTTGCAGTCGGGCGTGGGAGGAGGAGATCAAGGAGCTGGAGAGTAGGAGGTCCTGAGAGGAGCGAAGGGCACGGGTAGGGTAGTATTTGGGTATCAGGTCAGTTAAGTAGGTTGGGGCTTTGTAGGTCAGGGTTAGTAGTTTGAATTTGATGCGTTGGGCAATCGGGAGCCAGTGAAGTGATTAGCAGAGGGGGGTTGCGGATGTGGAGGGTAATAGACCCTCTTATTTTATTTCTTGGGTCTACTGAAAAATCTTGAAACTTCCTGCTATCACAAGCTGTGTACATGTTATACAACCTTCTTTTCCAATAATTTTTAGTGAAACATTTTTTCAAGACAGTGAGGTACAAGTGCAATCAGATAAATGTCAAATAATAGTGTCATAGCATGAGATAACAAAAAAGAACCACTTCCCCCCTTTCTCGTCATGAGGCTGCCAAGGTGGAGGTGGTAATCCACAGTCAGCTGGGCATTAAAGAGTAGGATACTTTTTTACTCATGGCACAGAGAGGTTCCATCTGTTTGTGGGTGGTTTGGGGGTCCTAATGCCATAGCGTGCGTTACAGTTCTACATTGTATGTACTGCAACTAAAAGGCTATGCAGGAAAATAGCTAACATAGAACCGTATAAAGTTCTCAGTGCCATGTTATATGACCTTCTATGCGTGGAGGGAGATCCTACTTAAATGGAAACCTCAAGATTTTCCTTCTGTGCAGGAATGGAAGACCACACTTAATGGGGAATTGCTGTTATATAAAATCACTTACGCCAGTCACAACTTTCCTACAAAAATTGATAAAATCTGGGTGAGCTGGATTGGCGCTCAACTGACTGATGCTTAACTGTATAATTTGATGATGATTCCACTATATTTTTGTTTTTTTGGTGCCATTGTGGCTCTAAGTGCGCTAGTTTATGTTTATTGCCTTCAGCCTCACATCTTCCTCACTATCTTCCACCTGAACACTCCTGACACTCAGCAGGCTCCAACACTTTTAAGGGTGTCCCGGCCCATTGCCAAGTCTTCTTTTGGAGATTGGCTAGGATCCCTCAAGATTGCAAGCCAGCCACTCCTCAGATTCACACACTGTCTCTAGGCCTTCCTCCAAAGCCCTAGAGCAAGCGGAAATTCCACAGTGGCTAGCCTGAAGAGCCTCTCAGCTCCTGAGCATAAATTGACCTTCCGGCTATTACACCCAGGCTGCTACTCACTGACAATTAAACACTAGCTCCCCCTA